CATAAATACGCCACAACTAAAATAATGTTAATTTTTTTTTTGTGCGAAATTTTTTTATATAAAAAAAAACCATTAAAGCCACAAGCGAGTGCTAGGCGGACTGTGAAACTAAGCAGGGGTGGTGGAGAGGGGAACACTGCAATTGATGAGGCGGAAAACGACATAAATACTCGTAGTAAGAGAGCTAGCCGCTCGGGAGTGAAAGAGGGAATTAAATGAGCGAAGTGCTTACGTTGAGCTGAGTGATAAAGTGAATTCGTGCAGAAATGTTTCAGCCATAAATTGAATGATCGGCCGGCCGAGTAGTAAAGTGATTGAAAGAAGCAGACAATAAAATAAGTCGACAAATGAGAGTAGAAGCAGACAGAGACGCTTTGAAGCTTCGACGCTTCGAGGTTTGGTGACCAAAGTGAAATTACGTAAGACATGCTTGTTAGCGCTTCTCACTGCACCACTTGTCTGCGATAGCTGCAGTCGCAGAGCATCAGCAGCAGCAATCTTCACTCGTCGATCAAAATTGATAAACACAGGCGCGCACACAATTAACTTCCACAACAAAAATAACTTAGCATAGCATTTCGCTTAAGGCAGAGCACGTATAATAAGCATACATACATAAATGCATACCAACCACCAACCAGCTCTTTGACGGGTTGCTTGCATGCGTACGTGTGTGTGTGTGTGTGTCGATCATAACGATGATGATGATGATGATGATGATGGTGATTGTGGTGATAATATATACATATTTACATATTAAATACAGTATTTATTGACAGGTGAAATGGCGACAGGCGTTGTGAATGTAAATACTTACATACATACATATATATGACCACACTTACACGTACACATGTTAAAGCTTAAAATTGTTTGATTGTTTTATTTCTTCCACTTCTCTCCACTCGCCTTTTTTTTTCTTCTATTTCATTTCACAGCGATTGTGTGCAAAATTTTCGGCTGCTTGCATACGCGTATGCTAATAAATGCCAAATTAAAGTGTGATAATGTTAGTTTGACTACGAGATATAAATAAATGCAAGTCGGTATATAACAGCCGAAATATGGCAAATGCAAAAAAAAAACAAATATGTATGTAAGTATTTGAATAATAATACTTTTAAAAGCGCATTTCAGCAAACAAGAAAATAAATTTCTGTTTCTACGTATATATTTTTGCTTTAAGTCTTTAACTTTAAGTGCTACGTGTTTCGAATTTTATGCATCAAGGAAGTAGCTTAAGCGAGCTGATGATGATTGTTTGAAAGCTTTATTGTTGATGAACTTGTTTTACAAATTTAAAACTTTAATACTCTAATTTTTAATGATCAGTAAGTGGCAAATTTGCTGTATTTAGCGAACAGATCATTGCATCATGTTAACTTTTGCTCGTTTGGGCTGCTTGATTTGACTCCTAACTTAAGAGGATGTTTGCAGCTCTCAAAAAAAAATTACAAGAAATTTTTTCATTAATTCTGTTGCATGAAAAATTACTTTGCTTTCGATGTAAATTTTCTTGGAGGATTAAATACATGTACGAGCATATTTTTTTTTTGAGTGCTGCAAATTGATTTAAGAAATTTTGTTAAGTAGAAGAAAATTTATTTTCAATTTCTTAAGCGTCCTTTTATATATATAAATTTTTCGCTTTTCTGTATTTTTTGTATATATTAAAATCCGTTACTCACTATTAAATACTTACTTACATACATCATTCGAGGTCTATATGTCCTGACACTAGCCCTCTATTGGTTATAAATTCGTAAGCTAGCTCGTTTACGACTCGCCTGCTCTCTATCGTTTCTGTAGAGTTTTTGCAACAGTTCACAATCATGGTGGTTTGTTACGAAAAGAATTAAGCGTAGAGCCGATAAACTGGTACACAACTACTATTATCACTACGAGCTTAGATTGATTACCCCAGCACACAAAAAAAAAAAAGTGGTGTGTGCTTTTAACCAGATCCACCTACCGACGTGTTCCATTTTTCTTCAGAAAAAGCCTTAGATAGTGTTAATATGCATGTCTAAATTCTAGGCAATCCCTTAGTAAATATAGTGAGAAAAATTTTAATTTGTCTGAAATTTATTTTTTTAACACATTTTGGTTTTAGGGAAACCCACAATTATTTTCAACTGGCTTTTATTATGCAATATTTATTGACTGGAAAAACATAATCAATTTTATTCAAAATAGCTACTTTTTATAAACTTCGCGCAAAAAAATTCAATTCGCCATTTTAAACCCTCTGGCAGCAAGAAAATTAAAATTTAATAAAATTCTTTGAATTTATAATTAAGTTTTTTCTCTTTAAATATAAATTTGCAACTTTTCCGTTATAACCCAAATGCCCTCAATCGCACGCACTCTACCCGATTGCATATTCTTACTACTTAAGTGTATATTATCGTTGTTGGTAAAAGTATGTATCGTGAATTTGGTTAGCGTTGCCAACCTACTTAATTTCACAAAGAGATATTTAGAACATATTGTTATTAACATGATACAAAAAAGAAGGTAGTTTCATTTAATGACATTCGTTGTTGTTGTTAACCATTTGACTTTTAATAAAATTATGACATTTCATCAAATTCATGCTACCTGATTACTAGAAGAAATATATTTTTTTAAGCAGAAGATTTTTTCAGTACATTCAAAGATGTGGAATATGATGAACTCCAAAATTATGCCGGCTAAATGATTTCGCTAATGGGGTTGACGACTAGGTTTCAGAACGCATGAAGAAAGTATAACTGCAAAACCGCGTAACTGACATTTTTTTCCAAAAATTGGATTTGCTCACACAAGCTCTTGGCTCAAGCCTTATCCATTCGTCCTGAAATGCGATTTCTTTGTAAAAAAGAGAACCATTTTGAAATGTGAGTGTTTTTACTCTCTTCTAAATAATTTATGCAACCTCACATACGCAGTTGTGCATTTTGTTGATACACGGTTTTATACTTTAAACGACGATCTGTTAGTTGTTTATCGGAGGGCGGTCTGTTCAAGCCGACTTCAGGTGTTTTGCATAAATTAAAAATTTGTGAAATTTAATGATGCTAAAAAGCCTAATTTTTTGCAAAATCTGATGAGAAATTTAAAAGCAAATTTGAACCTAAATATAAAAAGGTTTTATTTGGGAAGAAAATTCTTTAAAATTCGATTTTTAAATCGCAAGATTGCATTAAAAAAAAAAACAGAAAAATTCGCGCGTGGTTTTTATTACAAAATGAAAAGAACCATAACGATGAAGTCTCCTTTACAGTACCAAGTACTGATAATGGTTTTTGATTTGAAATGTTATTACATTGGTATAAATATGGGAAAGAAAATACTCCGACTTATTGTTTTAATATTATCAAAGTGACAAGGCCGTTGATAATACTCACAATTTATGAAACTTCAAAAAATTTTATTATCCGTCAAAAGTTGTTTATTGAAACTACCTTCTTTTTTGTATCATGGTTATTAACATAAAAATCACAAATGGTTTACATTTAAATTAAAATGGAACAAAAAGAGATGAAACAAGAAGAAACGATACATGGGCGAATATGTAAAAAATGTAGATAAGGATCAAAGAATAACAAAACATACAAATTGGGCAGAAAAGTATATTAAAATCAGAAAATTACACAGTCCTCAAGCAATAATTTTTTTTTTTTTTTTTGAAATTTTGTCTGACAATTTACCAAAGCCATAATATGTACAAAAATTTAGCTTTGGATTCTTAAGCAATAGTTGGTTTTTTGTTTGTAGTTGAGACGTGCCGTTTTGTGAATAAGGTCAAGATAGTGGGCGACGACGTCAATGTAAATTGCCGGCGTATTATTACGTATGTGGTACACAGGCGTCAATCAGTAAACGTATACGCATTCATAATTTTTAACTGCGTAAATTAACTCTTACAAATACAACGTACATACATACATACATATATATTTGCTGGCATGAAGTTTGGTATTTATTATTCAAGAAGAAATAGGTCAGCAAAAGAAATGGTAATTTTACAAATTTGAATTTTTTGAATGTATGTGTGTATTTGTAATGTTTGAATAAAACTACACGTTGGGGCGTATGAGTAACAAATGTGAGACCTTTCAGCATATGGGTCATTCCATACAGTATTTACACCTCAATAGTTTTTTTTGTGGGTGAAATATATTTTTTTACATTCTTTATCGAAAAAAAGAAGACACCTATTTGTTTATTTCGTCATGTTATTCGAAAATCTTGAAAAAATTCCCGAAATTTTGAACTCACGGAGAAGTATCTTTTTTCAATTGTTTGCAGTTAATAAACTATTTGTCGGAGAAATTCAGTTAAGGTATCAAAATGTGCGTATTTGCCTCGGATTTCCACGACAGTGTAAGATAGATTAAAATAAAAAATGTTTGCATTAATAAATCGCATTTTTTATTTTTTAATTCTTTGTTTGATTTTTATTTTTTTCAACCTGAATAGTTGTCAAACTTTAGGAATTGCGCTGTAAAAATTTGATTATGCATATTTTGATACCTTAACTGATTTTCTCCGACAAATAGTTTAATAACTGCAAACAATTAAAAAAAAGATAAAAATATGTGTCTTCTTTTTTTCGATAAAGAATGAAAAAATATATATATTTCACCCCAAACAGATTCGGATTCTGAGGATAAAAATGACCTTCGCACTTTAACAGGCCCTAGACTACTCAAATTAGTGAAAATGTTCTTATTGTAAAACAAAAAAAAAATGTGAACAATTAGTACGAGACCACACCTGATGTACCACCTTTCCACAAAATCGATCGAAAACGATTCATGTGGTCCAAAGTTTTCCAGTAACATCCTCATTTTTTTAAGGCCGTAGCAACTGTTAAGATCTTTTCAAATTCAATCAAATAAAGTACTTACTTAACGGAAAGCACGAAGCATATCTGAGCTTTAGTATAAAATTTGAAAACTTCTAATGGCTGTTGGTAACACCAAAAAAAAAAATATTTATAGCTGTTCACTTACCTTGTATAGTTTTTCCTTTTGATACCACACATCCTCTTCCTCTTCCTGTGGACTAAAAGTCTGATCCAAATTCAGATCATCTCTAGAACGTGAAAGAATCTTGCGGCGAGACACCATGATGCTGCAAAAGAAGAAGCAGAAAGAAAACGCCTTAATAAAATATTAAATTAATAACAATAACCCCAATTTCCAAGAAAAATGCAATGAGTATAATTTATTTAAGTGTAAACTTACGACCGTACCAAATTGCTTGTATTGTACTTATACAATACAATTATAATAAAGATAACACTTTATGAATGACCACGGACTGACAAACAAAAGCAAAAGCAAATTTTTGCGCATAAAGCCTAATGAGACAGCAGTTTTTGAGAATTTCGCCGCAGCACATTTAGAATGACAATAACATTTTTGGATGGATTAATAAATTAAGAAATACTCAAAGAAGGACGAGAATTTGCAAAGCAAGCCAACTAACAAGAGTATGTACCTACATACATACATATGTATATTTTATTAATAAACACATTTTCTGCAAAGTTCTTGAATGCTGATTTTTGGGGAATCTTCTTTCTTTTTGTTTTTTTTTTTTGCTTCATATGCAGACACACCATTTAAAAGGATTTGCACAAAAACTAAAATTAATGAACCATTGCCCACTTTTGTTTGTTTGCCATTATTCAAAGCTGTGGGTTTGTTTTTTTTTTATTTTTGCATGTGCATACATACATATGTCCTGTGTCCAAAACAGTAATAAATATTTATATTTATTTGTTGAAGTTTGTAAGGTGTTGAGTGTTTGTTGGTTTCTTTGAGTTGAGTTGTTGGTAGCGCGCTGGCGTGCTATGATGACGGTGGCATACACCGAGCGCGCGAGGTGAAAGACCTTTTCGGGTGCGTGCACCAGGAAGTGCAACGCGGCGACGACACTGTTGGTCATCAAAGCACAATGCCGACAGATTTGATGATTGACTGTCTACAAGTGCCTACTACCGCGGTTTTAATGACAATTTGACGTTGTGGGAAATATTTGTGCATTCTTATTGCTTTAATATTTTATTTAAACATTTTTACTGCCAAGTTACATGAATACATATTTATGCATGTATGTATGTCCTTAGGTATGTGAGTTAGCAATTGGGATGCTAAAACTGAGGTTTTATATTTACTTTAGCTAAACATGGCAAATGAAATGTGAGATTTTATATTCCTACTTACGCATTAGGATAATCCTAAAAAAATTTCAATATCAAAATTTTTGTCCTAGGTATGTCTACATATCAAATAAAGACATCAACGAAAGTTTTAAAGTTCTTAAATAATTTTTTGGGGTCGCTACCCGTTTAAAAAAAATTAAATCTGATAACTTGATAATATGCTGAAAAGTATTCATACAAATTGTTAGTTATCGCTAAAGCTATTAATTGTGTAATATTGATCTCCAAAAATTGTCATTTTCTTAAGCTTTTTCGGAACAAGTACAGTGGGGTAAAATGCTCTGACGAAATAACGTATGTACAACTCATGCTAATTTAAAAACCCCAGAAATGCTTTCTGCTAATTTAAAATGCCCAAACTATACAAAACCATCTTCCGCCTTGTATCATGAATTCTCTATAATAATAAATGGCTAAAAAATGTACTATCGGAATAGCGTTTAAAATTTGGCTAAAATTCAATAGAAGCCGGTCCAGATATGACCCATTCATTACGAAAACTATCACATGGCATAAGTCCGGAAAATAGGCTTTTAAGCGTAACGCCATTATCGCAGTTTTCGGGATAAAAAAAAAAAAATAAAAATAGAAAGCGCCGAGCAGTTTGTCTGCCTTTCTACGGCTTGGGCGAGACTTTACCAATGCATATGATTAGCTTGCCAAAATTATTCAATTTTCGGCGTTTTATAAGGCAAAGTAATTAGTTATATTTATATCCAGCCGAATGGTCGGCATAAAGCCAAACATGGTGGCAAACGAAGGACCAGCTCTGAAGTAGGACTTCTATAAAACGGTATACAATTTAAACTGCAATCTAAGTATATACCTATATTTATGCGGTTGGACGAGTTCGCCGCGTCAAACTTTTATATTTTTAAAAAGGCTGGATAAAAATGTTTTACTTAAAAATAACAACAAAAACTTACTACTATGAACAAAGTTATAAAATGTATGAAATCTTCAACAAAACCAAGTCACCAGGTCATTCACTGTTACAATTCATAATAAATAAAAGCTAAAATTCAATAAAAAATCACTTAAGTCGCTTAAATCACTTCAAAAATACCAATCCAGGGCGAAACACCTGCCCCAAATGCGGTGAAAGTTGGCCGAAAGGCAAAAAACGCTATAAAAATTTAAAGCAAAATATGTCGTTAAAAATAAGAGAGTATGCGAATATACATATTTGTATGTACATAGATACACACATAAACCGCCCACCTGAGTGAGGCAAGCACGCGAATGTAGAACACACATAAAGAATGTTTGTAAAGCACACAAAAGCAAGAACAAATACGACACTTAGAATGTAAAAAAAAAAAATTGCTTTTTATTACCCCGTACATGGCAGGTACTTTGCAATGAGCCACAGCACTCCCATTCGGTTGACGTTGACGATGACGATGATGGGGACAAGGCACGGCACAGCAAAGCGAAGCAGCAAACGGCGGAAGGCAAAAAACAATAAATCACGAGACGCACACAAGACGGCTGATGGTTGAACGCTGGCTGATGAGCAACAAGTGTTATGACGAATTGTTTAAATGCGTGCGTGTGTAAGACAATTAGTTCTAGACAATTAGTAGGCGAATCAAAAGACTTAAGCGACGAACCCGCGCACGTAGATTAACACATGATGCGTAAAGGAATGTCAGTATGTTGAGGGAATTTTTAAAAACCTTAAAGCACTGATAAAAGCACGCAAACACACACACACACAAATAGCAGGAAAAGATGTTTTGGTTGATAGGCGAAATAAAAAAAAATTGCTTTTATAAACGTAAAGCAAAAAAAAAATAATCACAGCTGACATTTGCTACTTTCCCATGCTTTAAGTGTATGAATGCGTGGTTTCACAGGAAATGAAAGAAATATTATGCACATACACACACACATAAACACTGTTTTCACATTTAGTTGTAAAATTATGCACTTGTAATATTTTCTAGTTAAGCATTCTTAGTTGGTGTGACGTGCGCTAACGGCGGCGAATGCAATTTGTTCGAGGAAAAGTTATTCTTTTTTTTTAATATTTTTATTTGTTGACTAAATTCCGATTCGTTACACCGCGAATCGCTTAGTGCGTTACTGCTTTACCAACTGACAGCCAATGAATTGTGTGTGGCTTTTGTTCCATAAATACAGTGTCTGACAATTGAGCGACGTTTTGGCCGACTGCCTAAAAGTACGCGCCTAAAAACGCAGAAGGCGACAATGAAAATGAGGAGGAGGTAGATAGGAACGAAGAAGAAACGCCTAACTGAGTACTGAAGACGAATAATTTTTAATCGAGGCGAAAAAATAGCTCTCATGCAAATATATAGATACAATATTTATGTATGTAGTTTTTTACATATGTATGTATGCATACTATTAATATATTTGTATTAACATTAGATCGCACCAACTTACAAACAAACAAAAAATGGTCAAAGTACAGTCCTGGATCTAGAGTACTTTTCCGGCTTAATTTGAAAATATTTTTTTCCCCCGAACTTGAGGGTCGCATTTTTATATTTATAAAAAAATTTACGAATTTTAATACGTAAATGTTTATAAAAATTTCAAAACTATTATTTAGAATCAAAAAAAAGCTAAGTATTCAGCTTGTTTCAAAAAGGACCAACTGAAACCACAGAATTGTTCAGGTCCCGTTAAGGCAGTTGGCGATCCTTCTCGTTGCAACTCGTCGGCGACTTTTATATGATTTTTGTATTTTTTATTTATTTTTGCTGACTCTGTTGTGCATTTTCGTTTATATAAAAAAAATTTTTGGAAAAAACATAAGAAACAAGAAAAAAAATTACCAAAAATCAACTCAAACTCGTAGTCTCTTGAAACTTGCTTTTTATTATGATAAAATCTAATGGGTTAGAAAACGGCATGCCAACATTTTTCTAAAAATCCTGGTTAAAAGTTTGCCATTTTGATGAAATGTTGTCGAATTTTCTCAATTTTTGCACAAAGTTTGAAATTTGTACTTACATAGTTTTTGTTAGATAATAAGGTACATTTTCAGAGAAATAATAAATATATAAACAAAGGAAAAATGTAAAAAACTTGTTAAAATGTCGCGTACCTATTTATTTTTCCACCAACAACCTTGTGGTCAGCTGATTAAGTTAAAGAAATATTTTGACCAGTTTTGGCTATTTTTCTTTTGTCTGTTTAAAGTATATAAATTTTTTTATAAAAATTTTGTACATTACATAATCAGCATTTTGTACAAAATTTATAAAAATTAAACAAATTTTAACAACTACACCCGAAAACTTTAAACTTTTTATTACAAATTTTGACAAAAAATTTAGGTATGAAGTTTTATAGCCCATTCAATTTTAGTACGTTAAAGTGCAAATTTGGACCAAAAGAAATTGTCTTCTGGAGACAAGAACATCGATATTTTCCAACATTAAAAGACTCGACTGTAATTTCCGAAGATATGACGAAATATGTAAAAGAGCTGCCCTAAGTTCGGCCGAAATTTTTTTTCCAAATTGCCTTGCAAAAGTGCCTGATACCTAGCGGTGTACGGCGTACTTATTTTCTGGTACGTCCTAATGTGCATACTACTATTATATATATACAAATGTGTATGTATGTAGTTTATGTAAATGTACTTATGTTCACTCCAACACTACATTTGCATTTTGCAATGCTCACCCGCGCATAATTTTTTCTTTTTTTTTTTCTCTTTGTATGTAAGAAACGCCTTCTTGGCCGCACCGCGCAGCAATGATGAGCGCAGCGGAAGCCATCGATGTCAGCGTAAGAGAAAATATGAATTGAGTGAACTTCAAAAGAATTATTTCCAATTGCAAATGAGGTGAGAAATCAGAATTCAGACAAGCAGCGCTCTTGGCTCTAACACTAAGTGTCACAGCGTTAACCGCGAAACACCTGT